ATCTTGACTAAGATAATTTTATTTTGTCTGCTATATATTCAGCAACATTTAATTGCATCTGGAATAGACTACACTTTATAAAGAAAAAGAAATATAAAATCTATATGTTAGCCACCTCTTCTCTCCCCCAGCTATGGGTTAATTAGTAAGACTTGTATCAGTAAACCATTATTATCTCCCTCCACCTAATTCTTAAATAACTTGCAAAGGGTTGATAAACTGTAAAAATGAATATATAAGTGTGTGACTATCTTGGCACTACAGTGAAAGTTCTTTTGTTTAATCTGTTTATCATGGATTTGGTGTTTAAAAGAAACAAAATAGGAAGATTTTGTTAGAAACAAAGAAAAGAGTGATGAACTATTATATAATATCAGTCTTCCCATGTGGCAATGAAGGCTGGACAACTTCCTCACAGATGAAGAGAAAACTTCAAGCAACAGAGATATAGTTCTATAGAATACTGCTGAAAATGCCATGGACGGAACATGTGAGAAACAAGAACATTTTAAGGAAAATAGAAATAAAAATGGTACATGTAGTTTGAATCAGAAACAGACAGTTGAAATTTCTGGGATATATGATGACAAAAATGGACTTGAACAATTTGATACTCACATAGCATATTGAAGACAGAGCCAAACATTGAGTAATCTACCTAATAATGAGTTTGTATAAATGTATAGCAGAACAGGGATAGTAAAAAGGCAAATATTGCTGAGAGCTATATAAGATAGGAAGTTATGGACAGCCGTGTTCACCCACATCTTAAAGGAACATGACATATAAAAAAGTACAGTTGTGAGCACTTTGCACTTCAACTTTTGTGACTTCACTCTACCTCGTTTTTTTTTTGTTTTGTTTTGTTCCGGAATGCACTTGATAGAGCAATGGAACCCTACAAAGCCTCATCATGTAGATGAAAAGACATCCCCAGCAACTGCTTATTGTGATGTTTTTCAGCTGCACACTCAGACACCCACCATCTATGTCTAATATGCCTTCATCAGAAGATGACATACTGCCTGAAGACTCTTCTACTGAAGTCATGCTTTAGAAGAGGCATAACCTTTGTTGTGCAGTACATCTCTTCATCAATTCATCATTGAACAAGTTGCATTATTTTCCTAGGTTCACATTAACCTAGGAAAATAATGCAACTTGTTTGATGAAGAAGTGGTTTACACATAAGAACTTTGTGTGTGATTTTAATGTACAATAATAATAATATGATATTTGTATGTCTAATATGTCTTATTTTCTCTTATTTTTTCTAATATATTGGGTATTATAAGTGTAAAGGTGACTACAGGAGTGTTGTTTTATGTCTAGAGAGCTCTTATGATGTCAAAAACTGTATTTAGAAGGTAGTAAACAGGTTTTCTATGCTCTAAGTAAATATTCAGTTTAAAAATAAAGAATTCTACTTTGCAGAAATTCACTTATCACAGTAGGGTCTGGAACTGATTAACCATGGTAAACAAGAGATGACTATATAGTCAAAGAAACAGAAATAAAATTATAGAGGATTCCTATTCTTCTTATATATACTGAAGATATATTGTGTATTTGAAACTCTTTGAATATCTACTGGAGTGATATAAATAGAAACAACATATTTGCAGTGAATGAAATATAAGACATTCATAATGCTACAACAAGTCTATATATGTGGTATTTATTTTTACTTGCACATTTCTACAATATTCTTGTTTGGCAATGTTTGGCTTTTGCATTGATTTCTTTTGTGTCATTTATTATACAGCAAAGGATAGTTGACCTCCGTGTTGATTTTAGCATGGCCCATTAGAGTACAAGATAAAATGCTTTTTCCTTTGTAATGTGGAAGTCCTTCTCTTTGGAGGATTGCTCAATATTTTTCAGATTGTATGGTGAAAAATCAGAAAGTTGCATTCTAATTAACTGCTATCATTGATTTCAGGATGAAAATCTTCAAAGCATAATTACAGGCTTTTCTTCAATAGAATATTAAGAATATTTTAAATACGCTATTGTTTTGCTGAAATATATTGGCTTTGACTTCAAACAGAAGACAAATTCATAATGTTAACAAAAGTTTCATATGTACATATGTACACAGATAACATATACATTTGTGTATATTTTTCATGCTTCTATACAAGCACACCATATATTTTCACATGCATACATAAATACATATATATATATATATATATATATATAATGCTTCTAGTCATAGAGTAAAAGTACAAGCAAATGCACTAGAAGAATATGATTAGAATGAGCAAATTAAGGGGCAATAGACTGAAAAAATTGAAAAATCACCATAATCATTATGTTATTGATCTTATTGTATTCATGTTAAAGAAGTATGATCAATGGAGTTTATTGATTGTCCGATCACTTACCCTATATTATATTTGTTAATGCTGAACCAGTTTATTCAATACCAGATCAATACTCAGTAACCCCAGTCAATGTAAAATGCTTCCCTTTAATCTAAACTTGTTCAAAAATGTCTTCTTCTAAGCAATTTTCATAATTCTTATTTGCCAAAATTATTTAATGATCACTGGCCTTGGGTTTTAAGTAACTTTTTAATCTTTCAGTGATGCAAAATTAAAAATGAATCTTTTTAAATGGACAATGTAAGCACATCATGGTTGAGCAGCTGTCAGAGAATAGAATAAGCCTAAATAGGCTCTTCAATCTGATTTTAGTATTTTTATTACTGGTTATAGCTAAGTCTAAAAAGAATAATTAAGAAGAACTGTCTTGTATAAACTTGAGAGGAGTATAGTGTTTGATGATTGAAGTTAATCCTTGTTAAAGATTGATACCGTAGGATTAGAATAATTTTTGACCAGTGAAATTCTTACGCATGTTTTTTTTTTCAAAGATAATTAATTGCAAAGAGCTTCTCAAAGATGAATTCCAAAGCAGCTATCTATTGAGTGACTAACAGGCACCTTCTTGCCTAACTTTATTAATCAAGCAGGGAGCCTTACTAGTTGCTTCCTCAATAAATGAAAGTGCCCAGTTATCTAAATCAGTTGGAGTTTATACAATATCTCATGCTCTTTGTAAAATGCATATTATATATAAGGATGGATCAATAGATATTAATTGAATTTTGATTGGAAATTTTCACTGCATAATGGTCAGTCTATATGATCTATGGAGATGTTTTATGTTCAGTGCATTGAAAAGGAATGAGATTATTTTGAACTAGGTGATATACCATAAGAGGTAAAAACTTGGTTCACAGCAGATCATAATAATTATAAAACAATTCCTTAGGACTGTGATTGTTTCTTTCAGAGTCAAGTGATGTCAAACTGCTGAATATATTGATGAAAAAATTGGCATGTGCTGAGTGGTTAGAAAGTTATTGTTCTGACTATGCCACCTGGATTCAAGATCTATCCTGATTCAATCATTAAGAAGATAATCTAGATCATATCAACCTGGAGAAATGACCTCAGCATGTGGCATTATAAAGAAATTCCTGAAAACCAGATTATGGGTTTAAACTTGAGTGTGAAACTGGATTTGTTTTCTATTCATATGCAAGCAGTTTGCTCCCAGTATTAGCTTTAGATTATTCTAATATCTTTCACAAATAAATCAAGCTTACTTGGCAGTTCAAACAATTTTTTGTGGCGTACTTTATCAAATGCTTTTGTATAATCTATAAAGCATAGGTATACATCCTTCTGCATTTGTCTTGGTTTTTTTAAAATCATTCTGAGCATAAAAGTTGCATTCCTTGTTCCAGTGTCTTTAGAAAACTGCACTGTTCTTGTCCTATTTCTGGTATTATTGTGCTGCATACTATTCAACAAATTTCTATGAAATTTTATGCAGCCCATTAGGCTAATTGTCTGTTGGAATTGGCATTCCTATTCAACTTGGCCATTGCTGATTTCACTTTAGACTTTAATATTTCTGGTCTTTCCATATTCTTTTGCATTGTGGGTTTTCCTCTTTTGTGGTGGAAGAGTGGAAGAGTTCTCTAATGTATTCCTACCATCTTTTGAATATTTTTTTCTTTCTCTATTATCAATGTTCTTTTATTTTATGCATTCTGCTGATGAGCTCATCTTTTGCTTATGTCATGATGATCATTCTTTCTATTTATGCAAACTTTTCATTGAGCTATTCCTCATTTACCTGCTTGCATTTGTTTCTAATGTCTTTGAGTAATGTCTCTATTTTTAATGTTGTCGATATAGATCTCTTTGCAATTCAGGTCATTTAGGAGTATTGCATCTTGGGTGTTTTTTTGGGGTTTTTTGGCCCTCTTTAACTTACATAGTTTCACTCTAATGTTACATCTCACTGGGAGGTGGTCACTTACACAGTCAGCACTTGAGTATGTTTTGAAGTGTAAGACTTCATTTCTGAATCTCTTATTGATTGTTATATAGCCAGTTTTGTTCTTCATTTCTCTTCCAGGGCTTCTCCATGTTCTGAAGTTTCTTGGATATTCTTGAAACCAGGTATTAGCTACAACCTGGTCATTATCCATGCACCATTGGACCCATTTTTCTCAACATTCAATATGGATTCCTAGTTCAAATTTGCCAACCATTTCACCATCTCACTCCTTTCCTACTTTGACATTCAGATCTCCCATGACAATTGTAATTTCCTGTGATTTTCACTGAGCCATGACATTGTCCAGTGTGCCATAAAACTTTTCATTTTGCATCTCCTTGCTATGTGCTGTTGCTACATATGCAGTTACAATGAATATATTAAATTATTTTAAAAGGCTTATGAAAAAATACTTTGAAAATTAGAGATTGTTTTTCAAAGAAGAAATATTTTTCTTGTTCAAACATTAATTTAAAAGAAAATTATCGTTTCACTAAACATTTACAAATAGTAATTGTTACTTCAAAATATATTTCTGCAGAACAGAAAAGAGGTTATTACCCCAACATTTTAGGAACAATTGTTTTTAAATATTTGAACAGGGTTGAGTGTGAGCATATACCAAATTTAAAAGCTACATGAAACTCTTTCCACTTATCTATCTATCTATCTATCTATCTATCTATATGCACCATATTTTTGTATAAAAATAAAATGTTTTTTGTCATGCTATGGACTTGCTGAAAAATATAAATATATAAAAATTGAAACCACACATTTTATCCTATTTATTTTAATAACATTGATTCTTCAACCACTTTTATTAAACAGATATAACAGTTGAAAATCTTGTATGCTTTTCTTGACAATGTGTCTCCAATACACAATGAATTAGTTTCCTTCCATAACTAACCAGGTATTTGTATGCATTTTTTGACTGAAATCTACTATATTACTATACATGCCTTTTTGTTTGGCATTATTACAAGCATTTGTATGTCTGAAAGTTGTTAGATAATACAATAATACTTCATTTCTCAATGCTTGAGCCTCATTGGTTACTGATAATTTTTGCATTACACATTTCTATGATGAAGATATTAAAATTAACAACAGAAACCATATTTCAGTTAACTCTAATGAAATTGTAATGTGAAGTTTAATTTCTATATAATTCTACATATTTAATATTTGCCAAATTATCATTATGGAAAACATACTTTGAGAAAATGTTTTCATGATGAAATTATTAGTTTGGTAGAAAAATATCAAATATAGAAAACTTTTTAATACTCAATCAAATAAATTCACAGCAAATGACACCAATAATAAAGAATGATACCACCAGAGATCAATCAAGAATTTTTTGCCAGTATTATTTTTATATTTAATGTATCTTTAGAAGTTTTGTGATACATTTGCTAAGAATACTCTTTTGGGAAAAAATATGTTTCAATGTTAAGTTATATGTATTGGAATAAGATATTATTTTATTTCATCAAATAAAAATCAGTTCATTTATATACAAAGAGATGGTTTTATTATAATGCTCATTTCAAATCACAAAAGCCATTGTTGTAGCAGTTCACTAAAGAAGTTCCACATTTACATTTCATATATGAGTAACTACTGCCTTGCACTTTGATTCAAACAGTTCTTATAAATAAACTGCTCAGTAAATGAGGCCTATCCTATAAATTCTTTGTCCCTTCAAAACATGGCTGATCTCCACAACTTTCTAACCTTTGTAGCTCTTAGTATGTTTTATCTTTTCTCATCCCACTTAGTCTCTATTCTGTGATCCATTTTGCACAAGGTAGGTTACTTAATATTCCCCTTTGCCCTACTTGCCTTCAATATATCTTTCGAGTTTCAAATTCTCCAAGCCCACTTTCCTCATGACTTGTCCTTGAAATTTCAATAATCTCTTTCTGATTTTAAGTATAAGTCCTTTTTGTTTGAATTTTCCTTAAAATTTCTCCATTGTTCAGATGTTCAGTTCATGATATTCTCAATATCCTTCTGTAGAATCACAATTCTGTTGCTTCAAGTCACTTCTTCATCTGTCGGACAAAGATTAAAATCTAAAATCTTTTTGATATGCTATCAATTTCTGATTTGTTTTGCTGCAGTAAGAGCTATCATTCTAAGTTTCACCATTAAATATCAATTGTTTTCTTTTTGAATAGTTGCTCCATTTGATATTAACAAACAATATAAATATCGCTTCAGATGCAAAGCTCTTTGAGAATTTCCAATTACTCTGCCTACTAATAATAATCAGGAATTAATATGGCTGCAGCAGCTGTCACAAAATACAAGAGTTGCCAATCAGCTTTTAGCTTGTCTTATCTTGCAGATATGTTGATAAGATTTTTATTTGCTCCTGATCGCTAAACAATGCTCAGCTAATTAAACGCAGATCCTTCTGAAAGATTACTTGCTATGTACTGTAATGAAATTTTGTGTATGCTTCAAGTTGCAATAGAGAAAACTATGCCACCAAGACTGAGAAATATTGTGAGGTTGTTAGCTGAGAAATGCTGACAGGGAAAAAAATAGATACACAGATTATTAGTCTACTTTAAGAAGAATAGAAAAGAAAATACAGAAATTTAACTTCAAATAAGTTTTAGATTGCTATGTTCTGTATAAAAAATGTTTTGTCACAATTATTCTTTTCTACAAAAAACTATTGCTTAATATCTTTTTAATAAATTGAATATTTATTGTTGTTACACCTTCACTTAGAAGAGCCATATTTTTCCAAATCAGAATTTCTCATTTCCTTTACTCCAAACTTGTTTATTCATTTTCATTTGTTTTTGGGATTAGCAACTCACCAAAAACAGACTTATTTATTTTTTATTTTTTAAGAGAACAGGGTAAAAATCTTTGCAGTGATAAGAGGCAACAACATTAAGAAAAACATTAAATTATGTTTTTCTTAAAATGTTATTTATTCTGGGATAAAATATAAGTATATATAACTGTTAATACCTTTTAGGTTTAGATAACTATTCCTTTGTCTTTATAATCTGTTTCTTAATTGGAAAAATATATGTATATTTAAAAAAAACTCTTAAAAAAATAGAAGCCTCATGACTGTAATAGGAGGAACATTGATGTAAATCATAAAGAATTGCATTATAATTATGCACCCATGGGAGATTTTGCAAATTGTGATTCAAAAGACAATGTGGATATGCAATAGAACATAAATGTTTGGTTTAGTGATCATTTAAGAGATTAGAAATTCTTTCAGCTAGTGTCTTTCAAAGAATTATTGTTCTTGATGGAAAAGGTTCAATTTGATTGCAAACTTCTTTTCAAAAGTGCTGTCAAAAGTAAATAAAAAGATTTCTCCCATCATACAAAAAAATATAAAAATGTACTTTGCTACTTGAAAATAAAGAGTATTTTTTGAGGATGGGGGCTTACATTAACAAATAATAAAATGTCTCTTTCATTTCAAAGTTTTATTGATTTCCAAACAGAACTTACATATTTCTTTACAAACAAAAAATATCTTACTTTCCTGGACAATAACAAGTTGATTCTTGTTTTCATATTCATTTGAATGAAAATAAAATTTACCCAAAAAGAAGAAAAAACTTCTATTGATGATATAAAATGTCTGTAGAATATATCAGCATTGTTGTCTTGTCATTTGTTCAGAAGATTTGCATTTATAAATTCATTAGTGTGTAAATTAAGTGTTCTTTTGAAAATACAAAGGATGCTGAAGAGATGACAGATGAAAAGAAAAAAAAATATGAAGTTACAGTAAAAAAAAAATGATTTGACCAGCAAATATAAAGAAAGTAAAAGATGAAAGGTATAAAGGATATACTATTTTCACATTCAATATTTTAATTATAATTTTTATTACAATAATAGTTTCTAATCCTTTATTTATATGCTTTCTATACAGAAAATTGTTTTATGACATTAATAGTGTTTGTCATCATTTATTACAAAAAATATTAACCATGTTCTTTCTTTTAAGTTTATTATTTTTATTCTTTACATTACATTTTTACATATTTTTTTTTATTTGCATTGTGTTTCATGTAAGATACTTTGCTATTAATACTATAATATCAATATCCCTCTCTTCTTGGCAATTTTTTTTGCTAATTGGATTAAGCTATTTTTTAATTCAAATATTCCAGCAACAATATTCAAAGGCACAAAATTCTTCATATACACTGACAATTTCCTGGCAGTTTGATAATCATTTTTGAAGGTTGTCATGAATCAGAATTATTGTTTGACTGATTTGTTTTTTATGGTTTATCAATCTTTTTCAGGTTATGTAAAGCCAAAAAATATTTTCAGATTGTAAGAATTTTTGGAGATAATAATGATTTACTGATACAAGTTTTGGGATCCATCTAACCAGGTTTTTTTTGCTATCTGAGTGTTGGGATTCTAAATATTTGACAACAACAACAACAACACATATTTAAATGAAACATATAAAAGGTTATTTTTTAGAAGAAAAGTAGAAGCAGAACACCAGTGAAATAACATTTATATATTCTTTTCAAAAATATTCAATTATAATAAAATGTTCAATTTTCTTTGCAGTGAAGTTTATCAAAGTAATTAAATATTTGGAGCGAGATAGGAGATGTATGGACAGACTTACTTTATAACGGTCAGCCTAATGTGTTTGTGAGTTTGTAGACAAAACCTTAGTCAGTGACTGCTGACTGTCATCTCTTCATTATGTGTCTGTGCATGGGTGTATGCACGTTTAAATCAAACTGGCCTCCAAAATTGTTTTGAGCCTCGAGAAGTGGTATGCTTCTATTTTTATATCTGTAAGTGAGATCAAACATCTAATTTCACATAGAGGTGTGATCTTTTTGAATACAAGGTTTTCATTAGAAAATAATTTCACACTTTTTCTCAAATTTGCAGGAGTGGCGAAGGAGTTATTATTGTTATTTTCTATATGATCAAAAAATAACACTTGCTTGGACTACAACTATGTCCACAAATAGTTGGGCAGTATTTGCTGTTTATCAAACAAAGCTTCTGATGGGATTTTATTGGTGGAAAATATATATAGGATTTAATTACTACACAAGTCCTGATTATTAACCCATAGTTAGAGGGGAAGAGGTGGATTAATAACTTTACCAAAGATATTTTTGTGTAAGTGAATATAACAAACCTGTGGAATTGGAACTTAGCTCTCAGAGTTCCAATTCTGAGCCATTATACATTACATCATTGGCATATCCAAGCTTACAACATCTGATATTCCCAAGTGGTCACCCATCTAGTTACTGACCAAGCTCAATGTTGTTTAACTTCAATGATTGTACAAGAATCATCAGGAACCAGAATCATAAACATAATGCCTTTGGTAAAAATGATTAATGGAATGAGACACAAAAAAATGACTGAGTAAGAGCATAATAGACTTCTGGCTCTCCACAGATCCTATTTCTTTATTACCTGTGAATTGCTATGAATACTTAGGAAAGATAGTGGAGTGTTTTCCCATTGTTTTCCTCATAGATCTGAATTCAGTTTTCTTTCTTTAGCCTGGTTGCTACCTATGGCTAGAGACCCCAGTTTCCCTGCTGATGGTGAGAGGAGGATGGATTCATGCCTTTCCCATTAGAAATATAAATGTATATTGATTAAAATGTAAGTGCTGGTGAAGTAAAGAAAGAGAGGCACATGCAAAGAATATTAGAATAATCAAGAACCTATACTGGCAGCAAACCACCTGCATATGGATAGTAAATGAATTCAACAGATATAAAAAAAAATAGAAAGGGCTGTAAGAAGTTGTCTTCTCACCAAACTTATTCAACCTATAAAGTGAGATGATTCTGAGAGAAATTGAAAATCTAACAAGATTCATTATTGGTGGTCACAATCTTAAAAACATAAAATATGCAGATGACACAATGTTGATAGCAGACATTAAAAGAAAACTACAAAAAAAACCTACAGAAGGTAGTGAAGGAAAGTGAGAAGAAAGGATTAAACATCAACTGCAGGAAGACAGAATGCACGGTTGTTAGTAAAAGGATGAGCCCAAAATGCAAATTACAAATTGGAGATACCAAAATCAAACAAGTACAAAAATTTGAATATCTCAGAAATGTTTTAATGTAGGGCAGAAAGTGTGAAACTGGAATCCAAATGAACATTAGGATAGCCAAAGATGCATTCCAAAAGCTAAGTGGAGTATTAAGAAATAGAAAAATTTTGTTAGGGACAAAGAGTACTGAACTATTACATTATATCAGTCCTCCTCTATGGCAGTGAATGCTGGACAAAGATGAAGAAGAGACTTGAAACAACAGAAATGTGGTTCTGCAGAAGGATGCTGAGGATACCATGAATTGAATATGTGAGCAACAGTGAAGTTTTAGAGAAAATGGAAATAATAGAAACATATACTTAACATCAGGAAGAGACAGTTGAAATTTCTAGGGCACAAAATGAGGGCAGAGGGCTTGGAAAATCTGACACTCACAGGACAGATTGAAGGCAAGAGGGACTAGAAAACAAAGCATAACATAGCATGATTAAATGAGTGGTGTAACAAGATCTATGAGATAAAATTTATTAAGAGCTAGGAAATTGTGGAGAGCCATGATCACCTACAGGGACATGGCACATGAAGAAGAATATTATAAATTATATAGTGCATCAAATTCAAAACAGTTTTGTAAAACATTTGAGTTTTTTTACTTTTTTCTCACTTTACAATGAACAGGATTTTGTTTATTTCTTTCTTCATTTATCATCCTGGGTAAGATGATAAACTACATCCAGCAGCAAGGTCTCTGATCAGGAGGTTTTGAGGAGCATGGAACTTCCTCTTAATTGCTGTTGTTCCCAGGCCCACCCTGATCTGAAGTGGTAGCACCTGTTAGGGTCCCAAATATTAGAAAATAATTAACCCCCAAACTGGGGTCGAAACACTGTGAAAGTATAAAAATACATTTTTATAGTAAAAATATCAGCAATAGATTTTCATTGTAAAAACATTTTTTTAAAAAATTACTTATGCTCTCAAGAAAATTAAACTTCAGCATTAAATGACCCATAAAAAGTTGATATGCTGCTAAACAAACAAACAAACAATCTTCTTTGAAATGTAACAAATAAGACTTCAAGGGATAAAGATATATATAACATATTGTTCATCATGATTTTCTTTATTATTCACAATTTTTACACTGTTAACTTGCTGGACATAACAAAACTTTATCTGAAAGGATATGCTGCACACTGCTATGTTGGTCAATGCACATGTTGACAAAGAGAAGTAAAGGTTCTTCCTTTAACCAAATTTAAGCTGAGATTTCCTTTTGAAAATGCTTTTTAATTTACTTTTAATTAACAACTCTACCCATCATTCATATTTTTAAATGCCACAATAACAAATTTGTTAGTTTAAAAGGTCCTTCAGGATGTTCAGATAGTGGATATTAGCATAGAAAATGAAATCAAGGAGGTGAGTTCAAATTCAGGCCTAGTCAGTTACATTCACTTTCACATAAATGATCTTTGTGAAAGATCATTTATGTCTCTTCTCCTCCAGCTATGGGTTAGATAGTATTGTAGAAAGGGTAGCAATAAAAAAAAACTGTGAATTCTAAATAGTAGAGAAGGTAATGAGAAACCACTCTCTTTTCCAAGAAGGCATAGTAATTTACAGATAATAAAGAAAAGTAATCTGAAAGAGACATCATTGTTTCTGCTCAGATAGAGCATGGCATAAAAAATAGGTTAATCAATTCATTTTATATAAGTCCTAAAATATCTTGGTAAGACAAACAAAAATATTTAAAGTCAAAGAAAATGCATGTATTTGACTCTCCATTTTACCAAATGTATTAGATGTAATGTTTGTTAATTCCTTTTCTGTTCTCTTTTTAGAGTTTAAACAAAAATAAGGGTCAACTAAATTCATAGATTTTTATAGAAAGAGTAATAAAGTAACTTAAAATTTTCCCTTTTTTATATCTTTGTTATCCACATATTTTTATATTGTTGGTTCAATGGGAAACAAAACTTCTTTTTGGCAAGTTCAGATTAAATCCTTGATGCAAAGTTTCAAGTCAACTGATTTTATTGCATCATTAATGTTGTTCTTCATGACCTTTAGCAAAATTATGAAAAAGTGGCATATTCTTAGCTACTTGTCTGAATGGGGAAATAAATAAGAAAGACATTAATAAATAAGAAAGACATTTGGTTAAAAAGAGAGTGAACAAAATGAACTGAAAAGAAAGTGACACTGACAGAAACAAACTGGAAACAAAAACAAAATAAAAAGAGAATTAAGAATTACATAAACAAAAAAAACAATCACAAGTAAATTAAAATGAAAAGACAGAGGAAAAAGGAAAGGAAAACAAAATGAAATATAATGTCAAAATTATTATTATTATTATATTGTCCTCCTCAAAAATATGTTGTCTTTCTCCTGGTGTTAAGTAACTTGCCAAATATGTGTGTAATGTTCCAAGAACTTTCAATCATTATTGGTCATTTTCAATGGAAGAAGGTAGAAAGTTGAGTTTATACTGTTAACACTCCAGAGTTTGAAATGAACAAAATGGACATAAAGTTATATTTAATAAAACATGAAGGGTTCCTGTCTCAATAGACTATGTTTACATCATCTTGTAAATTTCTCAAATCTACGCATGAATCACACATGAATCCATTTCAATACTTTTGAGTTATGTTTGTAGCTAAATAATGTTTTTTAATAACATAAACTACAGCAAAATATATTATTATTATTATTATTGGATGTGTCGTTATGAGAGTATGGATAACATTTATCATGGGGATTTATATATGGGTAATAAAAATTAGCTTATTTGATTATATTGAGACATCAATGGAGAGGCACTGTCTGGAAGAATGATCCCTTGGAACCAGGCCTTGGTATATTTTGAAGTACATTGAACTTAATATTCTTCTTTTATATGTTGTGTCCCTTTTGAACATGCACAATCATGGTTTTTATCCTTCATAGTTCAAAGCTAGGCTTGTCCCCTCCCTTCCAGTCCCTGTTCTGCCATCCATTTACACAAGTACTTTAGGTAGGTTATTCACTGTTTCCCTCAGCCCCTCTTGCTTTCAGTATTGTCTGCGAGTGTCAAATTCTCCAAGCCATCTTTCTTCATTATATAATTTCAGATTTTTCTCATACTTAGTACAAGTATCCTTTTTACTTCCATTTTCCTTAAAACATCCTCACTATTCACATATTTCTTCCATGGTTTTCTCAGGATTCTTCTGTAGAACCACATTTTTGATGCCTTAAGTCTATTCATGTGTGAGGAAATCTTCCATCATTCACTGCTATAGAGGAGGATTAATATTACATAGTAAACACTCTCTTTGTTTTTAATGAAATTTTCCTGTTTCTTAATACTTTGTTTAGCTTTTGGGAAGCATTTTTTGCTATTACAATCCCCATTTGGATTTCTATGGCTCATTTTCTGCTGTCTCTTAGAACAATCCCCAAATAGTTAAATTTCTATACTTAGAAACTTATAAAAGCAATTTGTTTTATGTTGATTTACAAGAGAATAAATTACAAAATCATAATCTCTATGTTTTTGGATTTAATTATTTTGACCCATCTATGCAGTATTCATGGCAACAATTATACTTGCTTGCTTCATCCAATTTTGATTCTTCACCAGACGTATTTATAGAATCAACTTCATCTTTCATTTTCATTATACAGATGTACACACCTTGTCATCAGCATTATCATTATCATATTCCATGACCAGGTATGCATGCAGGGTCACTATGTGGCTAAGCACGTGACTAGTTTCATCCATATATCAGTAGTGTAGCAATGTCTGAGTCTCCATGAAGGGTTTTCCAGTTCACACATGCTTGCAGTTTTCCTCTGTCAACTCACAGTTGCAGTCTTCCAATGTCTACTCAATGTTGTAGTATTGTCCTGTCTACTCACCATTGTGGCCTTGCCCTATCCACTCACCCTTGCTGCCTTTCCCTGTTCACACAGTTTCAGTCTTGTCCTGTCCACTCACCACTGCAGTCTTGCCCTGTCCATTAATCCTTACTGCCTTGCCCTGTCTACTTACCATTGCAGTCTTCCTCTGTCCACTCACCCTTACTGTCTTGTCCTATCCACTCACACTTGCTGCCTTGACCTGTCCACACAGCTGCAGTCTTGCCCTGTCAATTCACCACTGCAGTCTTCCTCTGTCCATTCACCCTTGCTGTCTTGCCCTATCCACTCACCCTTGCTGCCTTTCCCTGTCCACACAGTTGCAGCCTTGCCCTGTCAACTCACAAAAGCAGTCTTGCCCTACCCACTCATCATTGCAGTATTGCCCTATCCATTCACCATTGCATCCTTCCTCTGTCCACTGATGTTTGCTGCCTTGCCCTGTCCATTCACCCTTCCTGTCTTGCCCTATCCAACCACCATTGCAGTGTTCCTGTGTCCACTCATCCTTGCTGCCTTGCCCTGTCCACTCACTATTGCAGTCTTCCTCTGTCCATACACCCTTGTTGTTTTGACCTATCCACTCATCCTTGCTGCCTTGCCCTGTCCACACATTTGCAGACTTGCCCTGTCCACTACTTCATTTTTTTTGCTTAAGGTGGTACTCTGTAGGATGGTAGTAGACAAATTGTTGGCATACGCATATATCTTTGTAAAATTGCCATGAAGTAATATCCTACTTAAGAGTTCAACTGCCTGTTCAGTTATGAGAATTGGTTTAAAACAAAATGGAATGTGGCAAATATTTTTGCATGATGGTCTTGAGCTGACAATCAATTGAGAAGCAGTTCAGATTACTAACATATGTTGTAACTCTCTTTTACTCAATATTCCTGTTAGTGTGAGCAGGCAAAAGTGACATTACAAATGTATTTGTAATTGATAGCTACTCTTTCCTCTCAAACTAACCAATCAATTAACATTAAAGAAACCGTGTCAACAATTGTAAGCTGAAGGAGGGAGAAGAAATAACCAAGAACTGAAAACTATGATTGATCGATGAATAATTACTTGAAACTTTGCTGGCAACTGCCTAATGGATGAATTCAGGCAATTTGTTTGAGTGTGAACTGAATTTGCTTCTAATTTTCTTTTGTTTAGCACTTCTGCTCTAAAATTGATACATTAGAAAAGACAAATTAATAGGCTATGTATTCTTTATTTATTTTAAGCTTGTAGGTATCTAAAGCAATACTTAATTCACATCATATCATGAAAACTCGAGTAATGTCTATATAGTCTTCCTCAGTAGTAACAAAAGATTTGAATATACATTTGTAAGATGCTTCCCAGGAACTAAGCAAAGTATTAAGAGATAGAAAAGATGTTCTTAGAAACAAAGAAAAGAGTGTTGAACTGTTTTGTAATATTTAATCTCCAATATGGCAGTGAATACTGGACAATCTCCTCACAGATGAAGCAGAAACAAAGATGTGGACATACTAGGAAATTTTGAGAATATCAAAGACAAAATGTAAATAATGAGAAAGTTTAAAAGAAAATAGGGACTACAAGTAAACTGACACTTTCAATCAGAGATTGCTTTGCTTGTAAATTCTCTTTCAATTATATTCTCAATACATCAGGAGTACTTTTGCTTGACTTTCCACTTAGAACAGAGTCTTTACTGCGTGATACACATATAACTCAATCCATGGTCTCTGCTATCATCTTCAAACTTCATTCCCATATACTTGATGGTATCGCTACAATTGTCATTATGAAATGTGCCTCTAAACTGGTTCCTGTTCTCTCCAAGCAGTATAATAGATGCCTTGCTGTTCTTGGTTTTAAGAATTCTGGCAAACCATCCATTCCTTTAGTCTTCTACTTCTTTTTGGCTCTAATCAACTTCAAATTGATTAAGCTTCTCACCTCAGAGTGTCTTCTTTCAGGCAGTATAGCTCTTCCTTTTCCAGGTCAACTGCTGATATATTAATAGTTATCCCTGAAAAAAGTTCAACTAGCTTTAGATAAGAATGTCAAAACTCAGACTCTTGGTTTAGATATCTTGAAGGGATTTGACAGGGTTTGGCATTCTAGTCTTCTTCATAAATTGAATGATTATGGTGTTTCTGGCCATTTCTTTGATTTAATTCAATTTTTCTTATCAAATCATGTAATGAAAGTTGTCTTGGATGTCCATACCATTAGATCATTTTGCATTAATGTGGTGACCCCCCAGAGCTCTATTCTTGGATCTACATTGTTCCTCGTTTTCATCAACTAGCTCCCCAAAATCATACATTCCAGACTTGATATCTATGCTGATGACACAAGTATTCACTCCTGACTTTATAGTAAATCTGATAGGTTAGATAAAATAAAATTGGCAGCTGATCTTGAAAATGACTGATGCTAACCTCCAAGAGATCAATTCACTGCACTTTCTTGATCTAACATTTTCCACTGAATTAAACTGGAAAGATTATATTGAATCAATTGCTAGGTCTACTGCTAGGAAAGTCAATTCACTATGTCGTGTGAGACAATTTTTCTTGCCAGAATCTATCTTGCACATTTATAAGTCTGCCATTTGTCCATGCATCGTATATTGCTACATCTAGTCTGGAGCTTCTGCTATACATCTAGAGATTCTTGAAAAAATCCAAAGCAGAATCTGCAATGTTATAGGCTTGAACTGGTATCTCAGCTTCAGTCACTTTCCTACAATGATAACATATCTATGTCTTTTCTATAAATACCATGGTAATTGTTCTCATGAGCTTTCCCTTATTGATATTTTGACATCACAAATTTATTCACAGTATTCTATAGACATTTAGGTGTTCTGGTCATCAACAAGAGAAAAATCCAAGATGTGACTTACAAATGGGAGACATGTCAAGCAAGTACATCTGGCAAATGTTTTAACAGAGGTTGGAAAATGTGACACTGATTATTTATTACTGCACTTAATCCAGTAGTAAATAATAATCAAATAAATAAAAATCTCCATTGTTCTATTTTTGACTAACATATATCAACAAAAATTATCAACTTTAAAGATGATAACAACTTATTAATCCATCCATCCATATATATATATATATATATATATATATATATATATATATATATATATATATATATATATATATATATTATTAAGTATCAGGGCCACTATATAATAATGTAACAGCATTCAATCATACACTGTTGCTTTATTATCATAAATCACTTGGTTTTTCACTTGATTTGTTCTCATGCATTTCTCTAGTAATTCTGACTTACACACTTTTCCAATTGATCTCTTCCTTACCCCCTCCCTGGATTCATGTTATGCTCTGCAGCTCTGTCCTCTTGGTAACTATGACCACACGGTAATGTCTATTAATGTCTCTTTTTGCTCTCCCCTCAAGCCAGGACCCCCTATTAATAGAACATCTTTCTGTTATCACTGATTGGGATTTACTTAATGATTTTCTTTGTGATGCCCCATGAAATGATATTTTTAATCATCATGTTAAGAAGTGTGACACTGAGGTCTCTTTTTGGGTGAAAGCCGGCTTTGAAGCTTTCTTACCAGCACAAAAATACCAAGTGAAACCTCATTCTTCTTCTTGGTTCTCTCCTGCTTGTCCACCCACTATAATCAGCAGGAATTACTAATTCCAGCTTATTACAGAGTGGCAGATGCCACTGCTCATAATTAGTACAAGCATGTCATCAAAGAGGCAAAGTCACTATTCACTGATTAGAATGAGACATCATGTAACTTTTCACAAGTTTGGTTCAAAAGCTTACTGGTGGCTCTGTAAGAGTGTACTGAACATTAGCAAATCCTCAGTCCCTCCTCTCTTCAACCAATTTGAAGTATTGACATCTACTGCAGGTAAAATGGGGTGCTTTACTCAGGGATTCTCTTCCAATTCCATTCTAGACTCATCTGGAGGATCTTTGCCTATTCCTGTGGAATAGAATCTCTCCTGAGTAAATATGCACATAACTCCATCCATGGTGTCTACTATCATTTTTAAAATATATTTGACAGTACCCTTGCAAATGTCTTAAAGAAGTGTGTTTCTGAACTTGCTTCTTTTAGAAATCAATCATTTGTCTTTGCATATTGTTGCAATATCTGGTCAGGTGCTCCTACTATGTATCTCAAGATTCTTGATAAAATTCAAAGAAATCGATCCTCACCTGGCATCTCAGCTTCAGTCACATTCTCATGAACATAATGTGACTTGACTTCTGTCCATTCTACAAATATTTCATGGTAATTTTTTCCTGAGTTTTCCTACTTATGGCCTCATCTGCATGAATCTAAGTGAGTTATTAGGTCTCACCAATTTATCATTGAACTACCTAGATGCAACCGTATGTTCTATACTAATAGTTTCTTTTCTCACACTTCTTGCCTGTAGAACTCCCTGATTTCTTGCTTCCCTTCAAAAATTTAAACACAACATCAATCACCATCCTCTGCTTTCCTGAATCCTGTTCCTTTATTGTTCTTTTCCTCACTTCTCCTCACTAAAGTCTTCTCATTCTCTTTCTTTCTCTGTAACACCTTGCATTCTAGTGGAATTATTGCCTTGGTTGGGATGAAATGATTAAAAAAATATTTATATTTTGATGGTTTGATTGATGTGAATGAATGAAAACTTCTTTAAATTAATCATAAATTTAAACATTGAAACTCTTGGTTCCACATCAACATTACTCTTAGCTTTTATTCTTCAGAAAAGAGTATGTGAATAAATTTCAAATTACTAGTTGCCCAAGAAATGAAGGGGAAAAATTTCCTATCGTATTTCTATAATCAGGTCTGTTTTTGTTTAAAACAGTTATAAATGTTCTTCAATTACTAACCTAATATTTTAAATTTTGAATTTTAAGTATTCTTTTTTAGATAATTGGTACAACATAATCCTAGTAATCCCTTTTTTATCATTTCTTCCCAAGCATGGGGATAAAGCCACTAAGCTGCAAGACATTACTGAAAGTGAAAAAATCTGGGAAAAACCTTATTGAGGAGGGAGGATGATAAAAAACAGGATTCAAGGAGACAGAAGATGGCAGTTAATGTTTCCTTTCAGTTTTCAAGAAGCCACAAGTGAGAAGTGTAAGAGAAATCATTACAATAATAACACTTATAAAACCTATAATTCTCAAGTGTTTTGTTCATGATAAATTTATTCAATAACTATTAATTCTCATCTGCTATTATCTTCTGCTCATATCACCAAAACTGTTTACTTAGTTTTATGAGCAATGAAATGTATTAATGCAAAATCAACATCAACTATGAAAAGCTGTCCTTGGAAGCTAGGTGGAGTCAACATTATTGTTCACTGAAATTAATAGATTCTATTATAACAATTGGGCTTTATTTGATAAAAACCTGCTTATATTTTTA